CAACGTTCCCCTGACTCCATCCATTTACATCTAGATAGAAAATTTAGCCTGTCTGTCTTTTCACGATATAACATTTCAAGATCCTTTTGTTTGCACTCGTACTGCTCGAGGAATTCTGAGGAAGGGGAAGGGTCATCATCTATCTTATATTTTAGTTCGTTTATTTCTTCCGTAAGCTCTTTCTCTTTAGCAGTATATTGGCTTTTTTTCCATGAGGAATATCTAATGGTATGACCCCGGATACAGCACTTAAAAGTATCCCAAACTATTTGCGGATCCGCCGAACCTATATTGTCAAAGAAAAAATACCTTAATAAATTTTTACGGTTTCTTTTTAGTATACATGGAGTCTAGCAGTAATGAAGTGTTCAGTTTCCAATAACCTTTCCCCCGGGGACTAATCAGACAGAGCAAGTGACAAACCTATAAGGTTGTGATCTGATCTAAAGCGGTCTGCTATAACTGTTTTAGAAATTTTGGACAGCAGAGAGAAGGATACCAGGAAATAATCTACTCTGCTTGCCTGTTTTCTTCTTCGCCACGAGTAACGAGTGGCTCGTGGGTTGCGAATTCTCCAGATGTCTACAAGGTCTAATGTGTTCATTATGTCTAAAATCTTTTCCTGTGCTTGGGGGTGATAATTTTGCACCCTCTGTCCAGCTCTATCTGTTTTATTATCCAGCACGGTGTTGAAATCACCAACTATAATTAAGTTTTCAATAGCAATGTCTACGCCTTGTATGACTCTCTCTACTTCCGCAAAAAAGTCCGGATCGTCCCTGTTTGGACCGTACACATTGACCAAACATAACCTACAGTCATCGATCATTATGTCCAACACTATCCATCGTCCTTCCTTATCAACTATTTTGTCATTAATTTCGTAATCCAAACCTCTCTTAAATAATATCGACACACCTTTACTACTACTTGAACCATGAGAAAATACAATGGATCCTCCCCATTCTGAGACCCACGCATTTTCATCGTCAGCCTCAGAGTGGGTTTCTTGAAGGCAAATGATTTCAAAGGGTTTTTCCGACAACCACGTAAAAACTTCTTTCCTTTTACGTTTGTTTCCTATTCCATTGCAATTAAAACTGGCTATTTGTAGTTCCGATTTAGCCATGAGAAAGTTGTTGAAGGTAGTTCTAGAAATGATTTGCCCACATTAACAATGAAGAGAGGAAAATAATCGATATTTACATACCATACCACGCGCAGGTGTTCTGTGGCCAGGTGTGTAAACAAGGCATTCCCAACAGTCACCGGGGCCAATCGGGAGCCGGCAATCAAGGCACTAATTAACCACATTGTATCGTGTGTGTACTCAGTATCCAAACAAAACAGAAACAACATTAAAATATCAATCCAAATCATAGTACAAACAAAATCAATAATAATGATAAACAATAGGAAATCAACACAAAACAAGGCACTAATTAACCACTTAGTAGTGTGTGTGTACTCAATATCAGAGCAAAACAGAAACAATATCAAAATATTGAAATGGTACTTTAATACGTCCATCCTACCATATTCTTCCAGGTGCTATAACATTATTATAGCTGTCATATAAGGAACGCATATAGTACAGTTGTGGAGTAAGAGTCATATAAGTCACTTGCGTTATTAGATAACACTTGTCCGTAACTTTTTAAGTTACTACCGTCTACAATAGTCATGCTTTCTTGAAGCTGATGAAGTACAGATTTCATATTTTATCAAGCCAGTTCCATGATGAAGTTCATGACCAAATCGCTAGGTGTCATCACTACACGGTCTCCTCCTCTTCCTCCACATCTTCCTCCAGGTCCATGACGTGCAGAGTGGACGAGATTCGTCGTCTCAGTTGCGTCTAGGGAGAGAAAAAAGGCTGAGTTTCTTGCACAGCACACGAGCGCCATCTACCGAAAAAGCTGCAAACTGCAGACTAGATGTGCCATTTGCTGACGAAATGTACTCAGACTATTATCGAACAAAGCAGATTTATAGAATTTCCTCATTAATTATGTAAATTAGCTCCTGATTTGCATAATTGCCATCTGATTATGTCAAGCATCACTTCAACTACATACATGCCAAAAATCACGACAATACGTCAACCGGATCTTGAGTTATCGTCCTTCAAATTTTTTTCAACAAATGCTCCTGCAGTTCCAGAACAAGGCGCTAGGGGACCCAATCTCATGTCACTTCTTCCCTACCCCCAAAGCTATCTACCAACCAAAATTCGTGACCCTAGCATGTCCAGAACATGAGATATCAAAACCGAAAGTTCAGCTGCAGTACCTAGGAAAGCCGCGAGGGGGCCCAAAATCTAATCATTTCTAGGTCTAATGAAGACCTACCCACCTACCAAGTTTCATTCCAATCCATCCACTGCTTCTCGAGTTATCTTGCTAAATTACACACAAACACACACACACACACACACACACAGACAAACGCTACTGAAAACATAACTTTCTTGGCGAAGGTAAAAATTTTACATGCCTTAGTACAGGCACTGCTCTTTTGCCTCATCTTTTTTGGCAACTCCATGCTCCCGCTCTGGTAAGACCTAGTTGGTGTAGTTATATTGCATCGTTTCTTGTTAATAAGAAGAGAGGACAGAAAGTTCTGAAGAACGAAATTAGCACTCCCAGCCCCAAGGACAGACAAGACTTAAGCTACTGTTCTGTATAACAGGAGCTTTCTGACTTATTTGCATTATCTTGTCTTGACTTGTCTGACTTTTGTTCCCTTATTCGACTTCCAAAAATTGTCTTCTCTTTATTTGCATATCAATCAATAGTTTGTGTTTTTAAACCTGCAATTCCCCTCTGGTCTCTCAGTCACTGACGAAAGCTAGTGGATACTAGCTGAAACATCTGACCGTCTCCAAAATCAAATCCAGTTGCTTGAGTAACTGCTTTTTGGCGAAATTAGTGAAAGATCGATATATCCGGTGTTTTCCTTACCCTCGCTTGTGTGCGCAGCTTGGCTGCAGATTTGCTCAGTTCCGACAGGCGGCGCAGCTCTTCAGAATTCAGCACCGTGATGTCGCCTAGTAACTCCCGCCTCCAGTTGCCAAGACTCTTCCTTCCTGACAGGTGCAGGACTAAGTGTTCGAAAAGTGAAAGTGAAAAATGAAAGTGATCTCGGGGAAGGTCAGCTATGTTACACGAAGTAAGAATCATGAGAGCTAACACCCATACCCATTGTAGTAGTATAGCCCATCATGCATATTCAGAAGCAAGCCACCAAGTGAAGCTGACATCTGAGATTCCACCCTTTTGCCATCCGGACTGCATTGCGCATATACACGCTTTGTACCTTACTAACCATGCGTAGAATAAAACCATGGAAATGCAATGAATCTGTGATATCCTGACTGTACGAAGTAACAAGCTTGACGAAGAATCTTGCACTGGTCGTGATGGAAAAGACAGTCTCATACATAGCATATACTGTAAGTTGTTATAATCTCCAAGCAGATATTTTGGTGGCTGCAAAGCTAAAGACAGATTCAAGTTGGACAGACAATATCCATTTGCCAGTCAGTCACCATTTTGCAATGAACGGATACAGTCAATTTGATTCTGTCTTTAGAGCCACCAAAAACTTGGGGATTAATACTTTATGTATAGGCTCGATTTATCATATAGCTCATTTTCGACAAGCACAATGGGTATAATTTACTGCCACTATTTTTGCTGTTTTCTTTTAATTGTCGATGCTATCTTTCTTCAGAAAGAGGGTATTGAATTATGCATTCTTTATTTCTTTATTATGTGTGTACAAAGAGGATATAGGACCGTGAGAGATAGTTGGAAGAGCTTCCGTCACCCAACAGACAATTTACCCGTAAGTTACTACCGTGGTGCAGAACGTACTGCACCTGCGCGAAACCCGTAGTGTATTATACATAGCACTTCGGCAGAATGTCTCATATAAGGTCGTATTCGGGCATATAAGGTTAACATCTCGTCTGTAGTTTCCAAATGTTATGTTGGAAAAGATTTCCTCTGCAACAGGCAAAATTCTGATGCAACGTTGACCAAAAATCCACTGAAAACCGTGAAAATAAAGGGTCCTGCGCAGGCGCAATACGTTCTCCCGACGTGCTCCATTTACCCATATACACACCCGCATCACGTGACGTTGCCGTTGCCCCTGGCGACGCCGGGTCCCGAGGACTGTCGTCTGTCGGGCTGTTGCTATGGAAACCGGTGACGTGCGAGCCGAGGTCGGGCATGAGGACCGACAAGGGGAGGGACAGGTCCATACTGGACAGGGACATCTGGAAGGGAAATCGGACTTTTCTTTCAATCCGTTTGTTTCTGTGGGCCTTCGTACGTTGCTAAGGTAAGCTATCATGGTACCAGATGGTCAAATGGGTAAGATAGTGGAGGCTAGCATGAGAGTAAGAGGTTGGACGGAAATCGGAGTTGTTGTTTTTTTCAGTCCTTTGTCGCTGTGGGCCTTCGTACGTTGTAGGTAAGCTCATGTATCAAATGGCCGTGGGCAAGCTAGTGGACATGAGAATGAAAGGTTGGACATTTGGAAGGGAAATCAGTCTTTTTTTCAATTTGTCACTGTGGGCCTTCGTATGTTATAGGTAAGCTTAAATGTACCAAATGGTAAGATAGTGGGCATGAGAATGAGAGGTTGGACATTTGGAAGGGAAATCAGGCTTTTTTTCCGTCAGTTTGTCACTGTGGGCCTTCGTACGTTGTAGGTATTAAGCTATGTACCAAATGGGTAGGATAGTGGACATGAGAATGAGAGTTCATGACAAGGCGTTCGGTCCTAGGGAAAGGCACTTAAGACGACTTTCCTCACTCCACCCAGTGGTAAAATATGCACCTGACTTCGGTTGGGGAGGTAAAAGGCAGTAGAAAGATAGGGATGGGCTCTGCCTTCCGATACCATGCCCTGAAAAGTTTGAAAACAGTGGATTATCAACCCGCTGCCTCTATACAGCCTGAAAAGGCTACAAGACTGTACCCTTTGCCTTTTAAAGTTGAATTGTATCAGATATAGATTATAAATCTAATAGTACAGACCTTGTAAAAACTGGATATTTTTTCACCAGTTTCTTTTTCTTCTTCCTCCTCCTGTGTTGAACCTCCGGCCTCGCTCTCCTGAAAGAAAAGTCATCATTGTTAAACATCTACATGATTATCTGTACGTGTTCGTTAGCTATAACTTTCTTTTGGCAACGCCTCGGGGTAGAGGCGTGATCACTTGAAAGTGATGTCATAGTTTCCCAATTGCTGTTTCCCAACATCTCTAAGAGTCAAACCAACGAAGTTGAACGTCATAATCATATGTTTACCGAAGAATCACATATTGTTTTTGCTCTGTTTCCTCTTCTTCATATATATGAATGTGTTTGAGTAAGAATAAACAGAGCAGTAGTTTGTTAGGGCAGATCATGCGAGGGTAACCATTATGTTACCTTTCTGGTTAATTAAATAAAATTTTCATGTAAGATGATGTTTCGGCTTCAAAGTTTGACCGTCAAGCATTGCAGATGTGACGTCATAGTCACGTGAGTGCTAACAAGCAACGTAAGGTACATAGCATTTCGGCAAAATGTCTCATATAAGGTTGTATTTGCTCATATAAGGTTAAGCATTTCGACAGTAGTTTCCAAATGTTATGTCGGAAAGAATATCCTCTGCAACAGGCAAAATTCTGATGCAACGTTGACCAAAAACCCAACGAAAAACGCGAAAATACGGGGTTCTACGCAGGCGCAGTACGTTCTGCCGACGTGCTAACGTAACGAATCATGAAATGACGTAATGGTACTGACGTCAGCCTGGATGATGGCCACCAGGTCCACCATGATTGCCATGGCAACGTTCACCACCAGCAGGTGCATCAGCGTGAAGTACAGCAGGAAGTACGCGCATGCCCAGTACGACGTCTCCATGGCAACTGTCTGCATCATGCCGTCCCAGCCGGAACCCATCAGGATCTGGAACAGGAAGTGACGTCACGTACGTCATTCTTTTTTTTTTTTTTGAACGTGCTGCAATTTTTTCATGAAGCTATTAAGGCCACACCAATTTAATTTCATGATTAACGGATTTTTATAGAAAAATTATGGAGCGGGCGGGCGAAAAAATATCTATTATTGTATTCAATTTCAATATGTTAACCTGTGCTTTGCTTGGAAGCAGGAGAATCCGTTAACCAAGAAATTAAATTGGTGTGGCCTAATGGCAGAATAAGTACAACCATGGTAAATTTTTCGATTTATTATTGTATTCAATTTCAATATGTTAACCCGTGCTTTGCTTGTCATTTGTATATAATAATGTATTGTCTGGTGGCGACATGAATATATAAGTGTAACTTGAGTGTGTGACGCCACCACGTCTTGTCATTACATGTTTCAATAAATAAATAAAAAAACATGGTAAAACATGCCTTGGGAAAATTAAGAAAATTTCACGGTTTCTAGGGCGGGCGAGTTTTAGAGATTCGTTGAAGAAACTTTTCCTTTGGCATTTTCTTACAAAAACTAAATGGCAAAAGACATGGACATACTAGATATTAACACATGGGAAACTCTTACAACAAACAGAACAATTAATGGAGATTTAAGTTAAGAAGGGGTTACACCGGGGGGAAGAAAAACAGAGACTCGCATCAGAACTCAGACGCTCTAAGCGTAAAGCAAGGAATAAGTACATGATGTAGAAGAAGATTCTTCTTCATGGTCTTACGAGGCCGATGAAATGCCTACTACTACTACTACTACTACTAACCTGAAACAGGGTCAGCATGGCGGTGTCAAAGTCCTGGAACCCACGAGGTGGCTTGAACCCTGCCAGACAGAAAGATGATAATAATAATCAATTAAACGTAAGACCAATTGCATGTACATCAGATTTAAAAAGTCAGCATTGGAAAAGAAGGCAACTTGCTGGTGGGTCGTCTCCCCCAAGCAGATGTGAGGTGAAAAAGTTATCGGTTTATCTGACTGCCGGGCTTCACCAACATTCCCTCACCCCTTGACTTTGAAGAAGCCGTCAGAAAACCTTACGATACTTCACTCCAACATGTGCTTGGAGGCTAGATTGTTTTTCACCGAAGCGTTATGTTCTGTGCAAAGGATTCAGAATAACATTCTCCTCAAACATTTCCTGAGACCTGAAGTGTGAAGGGTTCTTACCTGAGACACGTGCGAAGAGCTCCGTCCCGATGACGGCAGTGACGTACATGATGACGTAGGTGAGTGACGTCAGGATGACGTAAGGCAGGGCCATCCGGCGGGCCCAGTGGAACCAGGTGGACAGTGGGCTGAGATTGGGTGGGTAGGGGAAGAACGTGAACTTTCTTTTTTGTGCAGAACTGTGCATTGTTCCGAGTCATGCTCAGGTACGGCTCTGAATTGTCCACGGGTATCTAAAACCGTGCCTGCGGCAAATCTGCGTTCTTCAATACACGGAGACTATTCAGAACAGTTCCTGACCCTTACCCTGGACCCATGCAGGCATAGAACTACAAAAGCACGACTGTCGATAGAATACTTAAAAATTTCATCATTTTTTTTGTTTCATTTTTGTAGCCTCTGTCATATCAGTGATTTAATTGCATGACTCAGTAGTGGTGGCTCCGGACCACCCTCCCCTACATTAAATGAAACGTCCCTTAAATTCTGTCAAATGAACCGTCCCTTACATCCAGATCACGCCCAGCCTGACGAGCATACAGAAGAAGGCCGCAATCTGGCTCCAGGTCCTCAACATCTCCTCCTCCCGCGCCGTTGCCATGGTGACGTGACAGCCAATGGCGAGCAACTCCGTCGCCATGGCAACCAGATTCTCGCGGCTGGCGTCTCGTCTGAACGCCGTGACCTGTAATATAATGTTTTGTTGAGAGAGTTATTTTAATACTTGGTAATATTTTATGCTATTCGTCATATTGTGTTGTGCACTATGTAAGTTTGCGACCCGTATTCGGTAAGGCAGGGCCAAGTGTAAGTGTATGTAAGTGAAACGTACTTCAGCCTGATGGCTGCGATGTTTTACATAATAAACCATTCATTCATTCATTCAGAGTTGACACCATGAGCATATGGCAGTAAAGGGAGAGCCATATAACTATAACGTGTAATGATGATGC